TGCCTGTAATCCCAGCTACTCAGTAGGCTGAGGGAGGAGAATCACTTGAACCCAGGAGATGGAGGCTGCGGTGAGCCGATATCGCGCCATTGTACTCCAGCCTGGGCAACAAGAGTGAAAATCCATCTCGAAAAAAAAAAAAAGTGTGACCTAACTGCTGATCACACAAAAGCAGTGGTTTTCCCATTAATTCTGAAACAATTATTAAATGCAGTGGAGGGGACAAATTGAGCCAAAAGCCTCAAATGAGTCACCATGCCTGCCTTTTCAATTAAATAGCACCAATTTGTAAACTGCTCAGCTTCAAGAAGGTCAGCCCAAGTGGACCACAGGACTAGCAGCCTTGACCCCTGCTGGGTCAAGCTCCTTCTCACACTAGGCTGCTGCAGAGGAGAGTCGAAAATGCCCTAGGCCAGGCACAGCTCATGCCTGGAATCCCAGCACTTTGAAAGGCCAAGGTGGCAGGATCTCTTGAGCCCAGGAGTCTGAGACCAGCCTGGGCAACATAAACCCCGCTGTACAAAAAATGAAATTAGCCAGGTGCAGTAGTATATGCCTGTAGTCCCAGCTACTTGGGAGGCTGAGGTGATCACTTGAGCCCAGGAGACTGAGTCTGAAGTGAGTGATGATTGCACACAGCACTCCAGTCTGGGTGGCAGATCGAGACTCTGTCACAAAACAAAAACCCCACAAGCCTCTCCTGCTCAGTGTGGCTACACCAAGAATACAAGTTGAGATTTCTTGGCTATTTGAGACAGGTCTCACTCTCAGGCGGGAGTGCAGTGGCGTGATCTCAGTTCGCTGCAACCTCCACCTCTCAGGCTCAAGCTATCCTCCCACCAGTCTCCTGAGTAGCTGGGACCACAGGTGTGCATCACCACACTTGGCTAATTTTTGGTAGAGATGGGGTTTCAGCACGTCACTCAGGCTGGTCTGGCATTCTTGAGCTCAAGCAATCCACCTGCCTCGGCCTCTCAGTGTTGGGATTACAGGCATAAGCCATTGAGCCTGGCCTTTTTTTTTTTTTAAGCTGGGGTTTCACCATGATGGCCAGTCTGGTCTTGAACTCCTGACCTCAGGTGATCCACCCACCTCGGCCTCCCAAAGTGCTAGGATTACAGGCGTGAGCCACCGTGCCCGGCTAGCCTGGCCCTTTTTATTCCGGCTAGCCTGGCCCTTTTTATTACTTTTTGAAACGCCCCACTCTGTCACCCAGGCTGGAGTGCAGTGCTACAACCACAGCTCACCACAGCCTTGACCTCCTGGGCTCAAGTGATCCACCTCAGCCTCCGAAGTAACTGTGACTGCAAGCGTGCACCATTTACCTTTTGTAGAGGTGGGGAGTCTCACTGAGCGCTGGGATGACAGGCACGAGCTACCACGGTTGGCCCTTATTTCTTTTTTGTTCAGTCTTCTTTGCCTCTGTAGCCAACGTGCATATGTAAACATGCCTAGTCTCACCCTAAAAGCAGCTACTGAGCAAACAGTACGTTTTAATTACTTAGCATATTAAAACCGTTTCTTCACAGATATGTCCTTCTTCTTTAACACAGAACAGGAGAACCAAAGCCAAGCTCTTTATCCTCCCAAAGCCCTTGGTCTAGACCAGAGTTCCCAAAGCATGGTCAGGGGTTTCTCTACCTCAGAAACAGCAGGTATGTGTCTTCAAACGCAGTGTCTGAGGGTGTGAGGCGGGGTTTGCAATTCTGTACTGTTAACAGGTTCCCTAGGAGTTCCTGACAGTCAACTGTGGGCATCGCTCCCAGGAGGGCCTCTGAGCTCCACATGCTCCCCTAGTGGGGGTGTAAGCTGGGTGACTCTGAAATAAGGACCCAAGATTCCTGACTCCCTGATGCTGTTTTAAAACTTTTAAGGCAGGCAAGGCGAAAAAAAGATTCCAAGTGAAGAATTCATTGTATGTTTATTATTCACAGTTAATCACTACCTACCAAATGCTATCCGCAGAGTTAAAGGATTAAGTACATAGGTCTTTTTATTTAAACACTGATTTTTTTTTAAATATATACACACAAAACTTAGTTCAGCAAGGCTTCATGATATACACCAATTCCAAAATAAAACAATCAAATGGTCCAGGTGTAGAATGCCAGATTCCTTTTATCATCAGGAGAGGAGAAGCAGAATGAGAGACAGTGAGGGGAGGCAAGGACAGGTTCTGCCCCGAAGAGCTGCCGCCCCATGGCACAGCAAGCTATCCAGGCCTAGTCCCTGTCCATATCCAGAGTTGGAGGGAGACTCCCATAGGCTGCTTTGGGACCCAAAGGCCCAAGGCTGTCACTAACTCCCGGGAGACAGGGAGGCAGTCCTGCTTTTGTTGTGGGAAGGGGTTTGGATGGAGAAAAAGATTACAGGCACATCACTATAGGCGACCAGAGGTGGAGAGGACAGAGAGCTCTGCGGCGGTCTTGGTTTTCCCGTCTTTCCAATCCTGCCTTCCCCAACTCTCCCTGCTTCCTGCCCTTTCATCTGTAGGGGTGGGGAGCAGCGGTCAACACAGCCTCCTGGGAAAGGAGGCACCAGCTGCCCTCTGCTGCTTCCTGGTGCTGCCCTCATGCTCACCTGGACAGGTCGGGGGACACAGGATGAAAGCCATAACCCAATCTCAAGAGCAAGACAAGTGAAAAGTGAAAACTCACTGTTTACCCCAGCATAAGAATAGGGTGGAACCTGCTACAACTGGAGACTGTGTTCCCTCCACTTCCTCCTCCTCTCTCCTTGTCTGAGACTTGCTGGTTCCAGGGGCGCATGTAGGGATGGGGTGGGGGCCACAACCCCCGGAGATGGTGAGGACAGGCTTCCCATTCCCTGTAAGCCAGATCCAGTGGGATATGGAGGGCTGGGCGGTCACCTTCCCTCTTGCCCCAGAAGCCCCACACAGTGCACCTTGGGCAAGCAGCTCCCTGAACCCCCAAAGGGCTCACAAACCTTAAAGCTGGAGCTTAAAGCCTCCTGGCTTAGTACAAGCAGAATGCCTCACCTTCCACTTCTGCTTGTCTCCTTTGTTCTACCCTGGTTCCCCTGCCCCGAGGGAAAAATATTTACACAGAGTAGGAGACAAATTGGCTGAAAAGCTCTGGACTGTCTTTAACTTATTTTAAAACAAAACAAATAAAAAAAAAAAAAAAAAAAAGATGGTTTTTTTTTTTTTTTTTTTTTTTTTTTTGAGACAGTCTTGCTGTCACCCAGGCTGGAGTGCAATGGCATGGTCTTGGCTCACTGCAACCTCCACCTCTCAGGTTCAAGTGATTCTCCTGCCTCAGGCTCCCAAGTAGCTGGGACTACAGGCACATGCCACCACACCCGGCTAATTTTTGTATTTTTAGTAGAGACAGGGTTTTGCCATGTTGGCCAGACTGGTCTCGAACTCCTGACCTCATGATCTGCCCTCCTCGGCCTCCCAAAGTGCTGGGATTACAGGTGTGAGCCACCACGCCTGGTCCAGGTGGGCTTTCTTGGGAAGCCATGAAGGCAGCAACATGCTTTCCTTCTACTCCACTCTACTTCCAACTTGGGCAAAACACACTGGGGATCTGGGCTGGAGGCAGATTCCTATAAGCTCCCTTCTCTGGAGGAAGCTAAACAGCAAAGGCATCCAGCTGCCTGCCCGCTCCTTTTTGTGTGTATATACGAAGAACACGGAAACAGCTGTTCTTCTTTCAGTCATTCCAACTAAAACAGACATTTTGCATAGAGAGAATACCAGCCCACTTAGTTTCTTGTCTTTTATTACTGGCGTCAGCTAGGACTATACGTGGCCTTAAACGTCATGCAGTGATGGACAGAAGAGAAAAAAGGATGAAAAGAAGGACAAAGGAGGGGAAAGAGGAGCAGCAGTGAAAATTTGTCATAAAAACTCTTCTTAATTTATAGGTAAGTTTTGGCATTTTTATATCCAACACCCCCTCCCACCCCTAAAGTTCCAACCAAAGTGAGAGGGTCACAGGGTGCCCCGGCCAGGTGTTCTGCACTCCCTCACAGGCTGCTGTGAGAGGCAGCTTGTGGGTTTAATTCTTTTGTATGTGTTTTACATTTTTTCACTTTCTTTAAATAATCACTTCTTGACTCTTAGACGTTCCGGTTCACGGGGGTGACGTAGTTGCGGGGAAACATGCCGGTCTGGCCGTGGCACGCTCCTTTCCACCAGTTGGGGTCTGAGTTATCCATGACATGGATAAAATCTCCCCGGCGGAAGCCTAGCTCTCCGTCCTCCTGGGGATCAAAGTCAAAGAGGGCCTGGACGTATGTCGGCTGCTGCAAAACAGAAGCAGGGAAAACTCACACTGGATTCCTGGTCTGTGGCCAGCACCTCCGAGGCCAGATGGGCTCCAGGGGGAACGAATGCATGCCAAATTCTCCACGTTTCCTAAAATCACCTCCCATCTCCCAACGCGTTTATTCTTACCTATTCTAAATTTACAAGCGCAGTGGGTTTAGTGTGACCTTTCCCCAATGCTAAAAAAATACTGGAGTATGTCTCCAGGAGGACAGTGGCCAACGGTGCCGACTTATTAAGCAGAGGGCAGGCAGTGAATGGAGGGGAAAGTTCTTCAAAAGCAGCAGTCTGTGTTTAGCCCGCGGGCCCAGGATTTGTAAACCCCTTCTACGACACCCTTAAGGTGTTACAGAGTATAAAGTTCCGGAGCTCGAATAACGTAAGGGGCTCTAACCACCCATATGATCAGGGCACTGGGTGGGTAGGGACGGGTGCCGGCCCCACTCCCTCACAAGCATAGTTTTCCTCATAATTGCTTCCAGGGATAGGATCTTTGGAAGGGCGTGTTAAAGACCATCTCCCTAGAGACTGGCAAGCTGGCCACACACTGCCTTTGGAAAAGCAAAAACGTTGTATGTAAAACAAATCTTTTTTTTTTTTTTTTTGAGACAGAGTCTCACTCTGTCGCTCAGGCTGGAGTGCAGTGGCGCGATCTAGGCTCACGAAACCTCAGCTTCCTGGGTTCAAGTTATTCTCCTGCCTCAGCCTCCCAAATAGCTGGGATTACAGGCGCATGCCACCACACCTGGCTAATTCTTTTGTATTTTTAGTAGAGATGGGTTTTTACCATGTTGGCTAGGCTCGTCTTGCACACCTGACCTCAGGTGATCCGCCTGCCTCAGCCTCCCAAAGTGCTGAGATTACAGGTGTGAGCCACCAAACCCAGCCAATTTTTTGTATTTTTAGTAGACACGGGGTTTCACCATGTTGGCCAGGCTGGTCTCAAACTCCTGATCTCAAGTGATTCGTCTGCCTTGGCCTCCCAAAGTGCTGGGATTACAGGCGTGAGCTTAAGCAGGGCCAGAATCAACAAATCTTAAGTGTGAACGGAGGGTAACATTTTCAGTAATGAGCACAGCCCCAACTGCAATCCTTGAAGGGTGCCTGCGAGTTGAGGAGCACCTACGCTTTCCTACAGGAGTATACACTGAGGAGATATTCTTTCTTTTGTTGTTGTTGTTTTTTTTTGAGATGGTGTCTTGCTCTGTTGCTAGGCTGGAGTGCGGTGGCGCAATCTCAGCTCACTGCAACCTCCACCTCCCAGGTTTAAGTGATTCCCCTGCCTCAGCTTCCTGAGTAGCTGGGACTACAGGCATGAGCCAACATGCCCGGCTAATTTTTTGTATTTTAGTAGAGATGGAGTTTCACCATGTTGACCAGGATGGTCTTGATTTCCTGACCTCTTGATCCACCCACCTCGGCCTTCCAAAGTGCTGGGATTACAGGCGTGAGCCACCGCACCTGGCCTGAGGAGCTATTCTTAATTGCTAAAAAATGATACCCATCTCACCCTGATGAGGCTTACCTGTGGCACCTGTTCTATGTCCCGCAGGAATATCTGCTGGTTTCTGGAGACAGATGTAGATCTGTGATAATCCACCAGCTCATTCAAAGAATTGAACTTCACCACCCAGAGGAAATACTTGCCAGCTCCGTCTCGGAGCACCTTGAAGTGCTGCACATCATTTCCAAACCTGGGAGGAACAGAGAGCACACAGTGAGGACTCTATCCTGGCAAATCGAGGGCTATCTGCCCACATAGGAGATGTCTTGACAATCAGGGATGGCAGACAACAAATCTCACTGCGTGACCCTGGGACAGATACCTCCTATGACTGATGGGCACCAGGACAACATGAAAAACCCTCACCAGACAGGGAGAGGCCATCAGTCACTCTAATTCTGAAGATGTCTGTAGGGTTAGTCCATGTGTCACTCTACCACATTAAATCATGTCCTTACTTAAGACAAAGGAGTGTGACTTAACTTCCCTTGAATCAAAAATTAATTAAAATCTTACATGTGATATTCAAAGACTAAAAAAGCAGGCTGGAAGAAGGTGAGGAGGGCTGGAAATACTTTCAACAATTCTCTCGTAACTGGGAAAAAGTCATGTTTTCTGTTCAGGAATTTTAGCTCCACTCATGGGGAGAAGGTCTCTGAGCAAAAAGACATACTGGGACAATAAAAGAGGCCCAGACTCTGAGACCCAAAAGAGTTTCCGTCACCAGATTTCACCCTTTTATACTGGCTGGCAAAACTGCCAAGAGTGTGACTGGCTGGTAGTAGCTAACAGGGTCTGTCATAGGATATTTGAATAAAACATTAGCCCAGCGGGGGCGCTTCTGCCTATCCTGTTCACCCTGCCCGGCACTAAAAAGGTACTCTCGGAGTGTTTGTTCAATGAATGAATGAGTCCCTCCTTAATTTCAGTCTTACAGCTGATGGAAACCAAAGGCTTCAGAAAAATCAATCCGGCAGGTGGCAGCACTGAGCTTCAAGGAAGCCACTGAGTACAAGATGCCCCGCAAAAAAAAAAACTGCTTTTTCATGCAAGACAAAATGTAGAAGGTGAGAAAGCTTCATTATCAAGGGTATATATATATATA